CCAGTCCCCCAGTAGTTCGCCCTGTTAGAGAAATTTTGGGTGAGAATGTGATACCACTTCGTATAAGTGAACCTCCAAAGGCAAATGGCAGCAGAACTGTTGATGTCCCTCAGACACAGGTAGTTTCTGCTATGTGCTTGGTAACCATAGTTTAATGTTCGGATTCAGGGTTTTGCTTTGGTTTATTTTGCAATGTTCGCAAATCTTTTCTCGTTTTTTGTGCTTTTTAGATTCCGCAAAAAGATGAGCTTTCCCTGTTCCCTCCCCCATAAATGTAATTTATTTATGTCTTATCATTATGCCCTTTTGAATTCTCTGCAAAAGCTATAGTTTTGATGTGATGCCTTTTGCCATAATATTGGCGTGGTTCTCATTCTTTTCAAATTTACTTTTTCTCCTCTTGTTCTGTAATTGTAGTCAGAGTATATGTCCTACTTTTAGATGTTCTTGATAGTTCTTATCCTGTTGGGATTCCAACTATGGTATCTGATTTTCATTAGTTGACAACCTTTTATTGGAACTACTAGTTACTTTGTGTAGGGAGTGACTCTATTCTAGCCATAGTGATTGGCATTCCATGCCACTAGTAATGGTAATTTTTTGAGTTATGATCAATTTGATTATGATATCATGGTACTGTGCTTTTTAACGCTTTTACAATGTTTGGCATGTTAATTTATACCTTCAAGTTAAAGAAACTTGTACTGGAAATAAAAGCATAGCAGGGTTGTCCTTCCATGACATCTTATTTGCATTTATTTTGTGGTTAATTATCTTGCATGTTTAGGTCTCTTTTGGCTGGTCATGTGTGAATTCATGTGCTTTTTAAGTGGTATATAGGTATAACTTGGGTGAAATTTATCACCAAAATGGATGCACTTTTATTGCTGTTCAAATATCATCAATCTAGAACTTTGCATGGCCATGTATTAAGATTCATTCAATTTTTCATTATTGGGTGAAGAAAAAAGATCTTTTGCTGCCTGTCTTTATTTGTGCTCTACTTTTATTTGGATAAAGAATGGATTGACTGTAGTATTACTTCTATAGCAGAGAACTGCATCTTCCAGCAGCTTGGGATCTACCAGCGGGAATCCAGCAGAAGTCAAATTGGAAACGACTGTCAGCTTAATTGATTTTGATGCTGATCCTGAGCCTGCAGCAGCTCAGGCAGTTACTCAGACACAACGAACAACAGTGACTCAATCCGTTGTGCAGCCAACAAGTTCTACCAATGACAACAACTGGGCCTCGTTCGATTTTGCCCCTCAGACAATAGTTTCTCAGGCCCCTTCAAACATGAACACCCTGGACTCTGTTCTTTCTCAATTGTCGGTGCCAGCATCTGTCCCTGGTCATATATCAGGACCATCTACCATTGTTGGTGGTCAGATACCTGCTCCTGTGGTCAACATGAGTGTAGCACCTCTTGGTGGTAATCCCAATGTTGCATTCACAGGGCAGATACCCGTTGGTGCTGGTGCTTCTGCAGTTGCACCAGTTAGCAATTTGTCAACATTGCCTCCTACTGGTGCTTTGGCAGCTGCTCCTGGATTAACTCCTATAATGCCTGTCACCAGTGGTAGTTCCCAGGCCAGTGTAAATAATGCTGGACAATGGCCTAATGTGCAGCATCAACAGACTTCTTTTTTCTCTGCAGCCAGCAGTCAGTCTACTGCCCAACAATTTATGCCACCAGTTGATGGAGCTTCAACCAGTCAGGTGGGCTGCATTTTCTAGTATTCTTACATTTTGTGGTTTTTTATGGATAATTGAGTCTTTCTTCACCTAAGTTTGTGTTGCACTTTTTTGGCAGCCATGGAATTTTGTTCCTTCCCAGCATATGCAGGGGCATTTCAGTGCACCTGCTGCACAAACGCCTCAAGCTGTCTCACAATCAGTGCTGGTTTTTACTTCTACTGGTGCATCACAGCCTCCATCTATAGAAACAAAAGCAAGTGGAAGAAAAGAACTACCTGCGGTAATTTCCCTTTTAAACCAAGGACATAGCAGTTTTGTGTTGTGAGGAATATTTATTGTGTTAACTTGTTCTTGACAGGATTTTTTTACTGCAACCTATCCAACATATCCTACACCTGCAGCAGGGTGGCAAACTGGCCCACCCCGTGGTATGGGGTTCACTATGCAATATAGTACTGCAGTGGTAACGATTACATCTCGCAACAATTAGGTTCATGAGTTAATTCTATTTTCCATTACTGCATATCTGGTTACTTGATGACTCACTTATAGTTCTGCATGCAATCTGTTGTTACAGCCAATGTCTGCTTTTCCACAATCATCAAAGTCAGTAAACCCATTTGATCTTGGTGGTGAAGCACCTCCAGTTCAAAATCAAACAGTATGTTATTCACTTCTTTACAACTATTTCAATGCTTGTGGCACTGACTTAGTCTTATTGTGGTAAGGATTCTGTGATAACATTATGGCGAGTTATGATGCTGGTGTGCTTGTTTTCTGTGTTTGCATAGAATTTAAGACTCTCTAAATTTTAGGTGATATATATACACACACACACACACACACACACACACACATCACACACACACACACATATATATATATATATATATATATATAGAGAGAGAGAGAGAGAGAGAGAACAAGGGTATTCTTTATTGTACCCAAAAAAAGAAACCAAGGGTATTATTTAAGTGTCTTGATGCGATGTTTGACTGTTTTGGCTGTGCCTGGGAGGAAACTTGGGTGTTGATTTGACTTTGTGGATTGTAACTGTCTAAACTGGATTTTCTGGTTGACAATCTTGAAGATGACAAACACCACAAGTGCAATTTTGCTTGTTGGGTTTGGAGATGCCAGGAAATTCACCCAATAACCATACTTACCAACCTACTTTCATTTTTGGAAATCCCAATGCAAAGCCACCAGTCGTTGAACTTATCCAGGAGTTGCACATTTAACTTTTCTGCAATCTTCTTTTTTGTGTTGCTTGTGGTGCAGTTCCCTTCAATGGCTTCCTTACAAGGTGCCATGCCAAATGTACCTCCTGCTTCTGGTTTAGTACGCGCTTCTAGCCTTGGTACTCCATCATCAGCATGGATGCCACGTCAGGCTTTACCTTATGCATCAGGGATGCCATCCCAGTTACTGCCTTACGCATCAGCAGTGCCGCCAAGTAAAGCCTTTTTATTCCCCCTTTTTTTTGTATCTCTTTATTTTGTGACTTTAGTGTGCTCAATTTTTTAAAAATTTACAGGGGCGTACATCGGAGCACAGTTACCCAGTAACTTGCCACCCTCCAGGTAATTACTTCTCAGTTCTTAAGGATTAAGTTCAACCATTCAAGCATTGTAAAAGGGGAAAATGAAGAAGAAGAGAGAGAGGGAGAGGGAGATGGAGAGAGAGAGAGAGAGTAAAATTACTTGGAGTTTTCATGGATGCTCAGGCTGTCTTGACAAGTGTTCATGTCGGACACTTATCCCTATCTGAATTGGAATGTTTCCTGATGCTACTCCACAAGCCCATGTAATGGCCATTTTTTGTTGAAAAGTTTTGTTATGTTTCATGGTCTGGCTTGGTCTTGGTTAACCATCTGTGTCTGCTGCTGTTGATTACCATAACTTTTTAAGTTCTTTATAGGTTTATTTATGTTCCTAATCCGAGTTATTCTTCGCGTTGCAGCCATCAAATCGGCATTGGTAGTGAGGCATCTTTTGGTTTTGTAAATGCGGATCAACAGGTGGCTGGTAGATTCTCAGCACCGACTACCCCACAGCCATTCTCTTCTGTTGGCGGCAACCCATTCGGCTGAATATAAATAACAAAGCATCACGGACCCCATGTCTGGTTAAGCATCCTCTTGTTGCTACCTGTTAAATTGATGGGTGGAAAGTTTTGGTTTTTGTTAGAATGATCCAAGCCCTATTATAAATTTTCCGTTGTTCGGTTCCGCATACAAGGATCTGATATCCATACTGGCCATAGATAATTAGCTTGATGCTCGCACAGAGAGACAGAGAGAGAGCAAGCCAACGAGTTGCAAGCTGGGATTCACAAGGTTACTACGGATAAAGCATCTGGGGGATCTAGGTTTTTCTTTCTTTTCTTGTTGTGCAGATATGATGTTTACCGTAATTTCCATGGAGTGATCTGTGTGTTGCCTGAAAATTGTATCATTTCCACCCTCCCCTTTCTTTACCTTCTATTTTCCCCTTAGTGTCGTCTGATTTTGCAGTCTCTCAATGACGATCCGGTTCACCTCTTCAGAGCACGTGAAAATTTGTGAAGTTGGTCACAGTTTGTAACTTTGTAATGTAATATTATTGAATATTGAGATTATTTGAAGAATTTGTGATATCTACACCCGCAGCCTCATCGACGCAATTCAGATTATTCAGATAATCTTTAAAGCACGTGACATTTTAGGCCTTCATTTAATGAAATTTATTTTCCATATCACAAAGAATTGGAATTTAATTATAAAAATGACAAGGACTGGTGGTTGCCTAAATCTGGTCACATCAAAGTGAAGTAGCAGATGAATTGTCAGTAAACTGTCATCCACATTCATTATATATATATATATATATGTGTGTATAAAATATATGGTTACCACCTGGCAGATGGCACTGTCTGTCGGTCACAATCAAACGGTAAATGGCTTCCTGCATTAAAAGTGTATGAAGAACTTTCTGGTGTCTTGGATGAACTCTGAAGTCCAATGTTCAAACTTACCCATTCGGATTTTCCTTTTTCAATTATTGAAAAACAATAGTAATAGAAAATGATAGGTCAGATGAAATTACAATTTTGCACTTGAATTTTTGCATTTGGAATTCTGCAACCTTGGACTGTACCGAAAAGCCCATGGTTAAAATTGGGCGAAGGAGGCAAGTAAATTCCCTATAGAACCATTTATTTTTGTAGGGAGAGTAGGCCACCAAAAATGTAAATTTCCAAGGGTTTGAAACTTTTTCTTTTCTGAAAACTATCTTCCTTCAATTGTGTATTTACAAATATTAATTGGCATTCTTCTTGACAAATTTCAACATACTGTGTAATTTCCCTATTCTCCCTTTTAGCTGAGACAGAGGAGGGTTGAGCCTCAATTTTCCTTCAGCTAGGCAAAAGAATTTGGATGTTTGGTGTTGCTCCAGCTCTAGTCAATTATAAGCAATGCTACCATGCTTCAAGTCCTTGTATCTGCAAAGTAGACTGATGACATTTATGTGACAGCAAATGGTTTGGAGCAACTGCAAAATGAATTTCAACACCCTTTCCAAAAGCTTTTCATGCAGGTTCAGTTGTTCGTCCGCACCCCAATATAACAGGAGCCACCAGCATCCACACTGCAAGAAAATAACCTTATCTTATTGTTTGAATAGTAAGCCTCATCAGCCAATCTCCTATGCTAGTCTTTAATCATCATTAAAGCATCTGAAAGTCAAGGGAGGATCTTGTTTTTTCATTGTATTTTCGGAGAAAAGGAAACCTATATGTTTGACAATAGCCCTGGCAATATGAGGATAAGTTTCATGTCAATTGTAGCTCTAATTAAGTACTTACAGTAAACGCAGACGGCTAGCCATTCATTCACGATCCTGACCCAAGTACTGGTCCAACCAACGTCGATTGTCCATCTGCAAAAGAATAATGGAACTCTTTGCTCTCAGCTTTCCACAGATGCTTTAAGTTTCTGTATTACTTGCCAATCACTGAAGAATATCCGCTTGAGATGTTTCTAAGAAGTAATTTCGAAAGACACAGTTTGCTAGAATCTCATAAATGCATATTCCTATTTACTTAACTAGCAAATAAATATCCAAAGTTCGTTATAAACCAACCTTGAAATGCATGAAGCAATAGTGACAAAAATAATATGGCACAGCAGGGGACATACCTTTTAATAGTATGATGTGTGTTCCAGCCAATCAATAGCATTGCGAAGTACATTGCTCCAGTGGCAAAAACGAAGTGGAAGAAACCGTAACCATATGGTACTGCATCTTCAGCAGGTGCTTCCTTTTTCCTGATCTGCAGCTGTTGTGAGATGCATTCTCATGGCAAAGGGAGATAACTACTAAACATTTATGAAGCTAGTGGAACAAACCTGAAAGCATTGAGAATCAACACCGGTAGAAAATGTGGCAATTACCATAGCCAGTAGTGCAACAACGAAGCTCTGAAAGCATAAGAGATTAATCATCATGCTTGCGTTTGTGGTAATTGAAACTGTGAAAGCAAAAACTTTACAATGACTTGTTATTTATCAAATATCATAAAACCTTTTTGAATATTCATCTTTATGGTCCTTAGATGGAGAAAATACAAGCACTTCTTTCCTTATGGGGTGTAAGTGGTTAAGATGCAATAGTTAGATTAGCAGTCATCAATACTTGGTTCAAAAATTTTTAAGAGATTTCGAAAGAATGAGATATTACTATGATAGTCAGCCAGTCTGTTTTGTTGGAAGCTTCTGCCTTCCTGTTGCAACTTTCCCCTGCTGGTTCACTGAAAACGCATAGAAGTAATAAAGTTAAAATTCAATAAACTACTTAGAACAAACTGCTAGTTCTCTCAAACTCAAGAGATTTAAAGGCTAATGTATCCAATTTGAACTAATGAACACAGGTACTTTATCTTCGTCACTTTAGCAATAGATACATTACTTCAACCAGCCATATTGGCACAGAAGGCTGGAAGACTATATATTTTTTACTTACTTGGGGTGGTCACAGAACTCAAGGGGCCTGTTCCTTAGGTCCTTATCCGTAAATCACCACAACCCCAATTGATACTTGATTCGTGAGTGAAAAATGGTTTCAGAGGTTGCAGTTTACAACCACAAAAATTGAAATGTTAATGAATGCACTCTGAAATTTCTAAAACTAATTAATTATGTTCCCAAAAGCTAAGGAATCATGCCTTCGAATGGCACACCAACAGATGAATACCACATAAAGTCCCATGAGGCCAGGAGTCAAGAAGACAGAATTCACCTGTTTCAGGAAGAAATCATGCATTCGTTAAAATCAGGTTATAGGATTTAAGAAGTGAAAAGCCAGGAGTGACCAGAGCATACTTTGGGGTGGAGGGAAACACTGGTCATGAGATGCAGAAGCACAAGTGTCCATGTGATGAAGAAAATGTTGAGGAGACAGGATGGTTCGGGTGCATACCAGATGTACATCATGATGATCCCCACTATGCATATAACATATGCGGCAGTTGCAAGTAACATCACATGGATGTGGCTGCAGCAGAAGTAAATTTTCATCAGCATTGGTACCCATATACTTATCGAAGAGTAAAAAACTAAATTTCTTTGAATGCCACAGAAACAGAGGTTTACATTGCCAACATATGTGCTAGCTTTCTTTGAACAATTGTGGTAAATATCACATATGTGTTCCTCAACAAATAATTGTGCAAATGCGGGACAGATCTGATTCAAAGAAAATGGCTCTACAATTTCGAACAATCTTTCAGGCAATAACATTACAGAGACTCAATTATGTGATTTAACAGAGCACATAACATATAGTTCTAGTATTTTTTTTTTTCAGAAACAGTTCTGATCAGCTCATATCTTGAACTCAGACCAATCATGAACTCTTATTTCTGCGATTAGTGCAACATAAAACATGAAATAAAGAACGAATTCAGACTTAGGAATTTGCTCTAATTTTCAGGATAAAACTTTAATGGCCATTAATTCTTACTAGTTGTTATTGATAAGAATATTCATTCTTTTCAGTGGGTGAGAGATCAATCAGTTTACAACAATGTGTGCAATTACAGATGATTTATATAAGAAATGCAAATATGTGTAAAGGCCAAAAGCAAAATCATATTGGTTGTCTTATTGTTTGACTTTCAAGACAATTGTTTCCACTCCCTAAAAGCAAGACATTATGAGATGCTTTTATGAATTTTCCCAGAATATCCCTTTAGCAATATGAAGAGGAAGCTTTTTACTTTCGAAGTTTATCTAATAAGAACAGGATTAAAACTCATTATTATCTAAGGCTCAGCATCAGTTCTACCAAGGGAAGAGTCTTACCATCTTTCTGCAATTTTATCAGACTGACAGCAATCGTTCAGCCATTTAATGAAACTGATTACGCTTACTAGTTGAACTAGGAGAAAGATCCTGAAAAGGATATGCAAAGAAGTCCTTAAAACAATAAGATTGACAGAAGAATAAATCAGGAAGCATCTTCAACTTCCCAAACAGACTATTCCAATAAGATTGTACATGTTTTATATAGAGGAATTTATAACAGGAATCAATGATACCCCGTACCCGGCACCAAAATGCGCAATCTCCCCTGCCAAAAAAAGAAAAAAGAAAAACACAATGTATCAGAGCTTTGATCAATGTAAATTACAGCAAAATAATAACTGATCCTGATGTGGATTAATTATTAAAAAAGGGTGAAAAAGAAATAATGGTGGAAGATTTTTAGAGAAAAAAACACGAACCGTATATCTGTATGATGAAAGTAGGAACCAAAAAGGAGGTAATTGTCAAGGCAATCCAAAGGCCAATCTTTGCAGACCACCATCCAGAATGCCATGAGTCTCTGCAATTGTACATCCTTTTGGTACCAGCAGTTGACAGAAACATTACAAAATAGAATGCCTAAAATAAAAATTAAGGAATAATGCAATGGAAAAAAAAATAATAAAAAATAAAAGTGAAACAACTGAACTATGTAGAAACCAAGCTTACATGTTATGCTTTGGAATGGATCAAATGCAGGTAAATTTCTCAGTGTGTATCAAGAGGCACAACAATGTGAATTCCATATGTAGTTAGGTTAAACCTCATCTTTTTTACAGGTAGTTGTCTGGACAAATTAGCAATTATGTGTCTTAACTTCAAAAATTTTCTTAACATTCACCATTAAACTGAAATTCTATACTCCTTAGTGTCATGTTTTGACATGATTATATTTCTAACTTTAATAGGCACTTTAGGTTTCTTTCTCCGAAACTCAACATCATTCATAAACATTAAGCAAGCAAGATCTGGAAATTTATCAGGTAGACCAAAACAGATATAATCTCCATTCATGTTTTTTACTTATTTCTTTTTCGAAAAGCTTATCTTTTATGAGAAATTTGAATCATTCTTATTCAGTTGTGAAGTTCATTTCCATCCCAGCAGAGAACTTCTGGATGTTTGCTCCTCATTTTTTCTTCTTCAGCTAAACCGTTTGAGAAGAGAGGGTAAAGTATCACATTCAATTGCAAAATCAAGAGACCAACATCAAGTCCTAAGAAATCAAATAAATATTCTGGTTGATGTGCATATGCTATATACCAGGATATTTATTTGATTTGCTGGGACTTGATCTTCTTAACTTGGCCTCCTCATTGTTGCAACCGAGCGTGATCCTGTTCAGCATTGTGGTATTTGACATTCTAAATCTAATAGCTGAGCTCAGAAATGTCATCTTTTATCAACAAATAAATAAAATCCACCATTATGACTTAAGGATACAAAGCATCCCAAGCTCACACGCAGGACTCCTTCTGCACCCAAGCAACCACGGCCACCTTGGCAATTCTTCAGCTCTGCAACCACAAACATGCTGATTAACAATTATCAATGGGACCCAATAAGTTGGATATGAACTATGAAGTAGCTGATGATGCAAAATGCATGTCTCGTGATACATATACCATAGGATACATATACCATAGGAATACAATGTCGAAGCAAACAAGCAATCTTACTTTCCATTTCTGGGAAGGTGATCCGGCCATAATCTCGGACAGCCCAAGCCAGCAAATTTGAAACTAGAAAGATCAATGCATAGACATATCTAGCCATCCAAGGATTGGAGCCATTCCTGAACTGGCTAAACCAGGAGTCACCCTTAAACACTCCATGTCTCTCATTGCTGTTGCCTCCTACACCACTCTCCATTTCACTTGTACACCTACCAACACCCTCCACTCTTCATCACATTACCAACTCAATGTTCCAGGAAAGTAGAAAACCAGTAGATTCCAGTTCACTGAAAAATGAAAATCCTGTTATCTGCAGTAAATATATATCTATATATATATATATATATATAATATAATCATTGTTTTGCCATAGTGGATCCATGTTACCGGTACCTAAATGTCAAAAAGTGAAATTATCGAAAGTCGTGCTTATAAGAAAAATTGGACTTGGGCTTTCGATGATTTGGGTTTATGACAAAGCCTAAGAAAATTCAATGGGATTAAATGAAAGTGTCCATTAAAGCAACTAACCACAAAGAAACCATTTCCCCAGTGAAAGAACTTTCTGTTGCAGCAAATGAGAAGCTCAATTTATTGCTTGAAATGCACGACAAGCTTCCAACTTTTTTGTTTCTTTTCATTCGAATTCGGTGCATTTAAACAAAACCGTTGGATCTAAATAATTTTTGGCGATGAGTTTTTTTTGTTGGTTCATGCACATTGAACAACGCAACAAGCATTAGGAGAACAGTAAAGAATCCAAATTTATTTTTTGCTAGAAAATGAAAAAGAAAAAAACATACCCAATAATGGTGTTTTGTTCTTTTGCGTGGAAAAGCGTGTAACGACTACCAGATGAGTAAAGGAATCTTTGAAATCTTTTACTTCCCTTGCAAGCAGTCTTTATCAAAACAGTCGTCGACTCTTTGGGACGATTCCACCCTTCCTACTCTGCTGGTTTCACGAGTTTTACAGTTAAAAACAGGGGTAACGTTGTCAAACTCGTCATTACGTTTACAAAGTCGAATGATGTTTTTAACTGTTGGATCGTTTATTTTGCTTCCTTGCCCTGTCTAGTTAAAGTGCAGAACAACAGCTAGGATTCTCTGCTAAGGCTGGTAAAGTTCTACGTATTAACTAGAAAATATGAAAAAAAAAAAACCGAGACAAATATTTTCAAAAAAAGAAACTTTACTCAAATATTTTCCTGATTGGTGTGACATGAAGGAAAACTACAAGAGAAAATAATCAATCTATTTTCTTTCACAATCTGAAACATTTCTTTGTTATCATTTGCATGCGTTTCTTACAAAAA